GCGTGTGAGTGAGAAAGCAGTCCTTATATGAGAGTCACGATCAGTTTGTGTCATCCTTCTTGATAATGAGTGTCGATGTACTGCTTAGGAATGATTCTTCTTTCCATAATTCAATCCTAGGGTCCGTCCACCAAGAATCCAAGTTTTTTCCACTTCTGACCTCACCATATCTAGCCGATCATTACTTTAGTGTATTATAATTGGAGATTCAAATGCTTAACTAATTTTGGATGACTACATGTAATAATATTATATATCATACTTAACTTTCCAAAGTTTTGCCATAACATATGCTATCATAAGAGGTTTGTATTCGATCTAGCTCAAAGAGATGAAACAATGCTGCTTCTGAGGTCGTGTTAATGAGATGAGGCATGTGAGTGTCCATGGGGCTGAGTGTATTAGTATTCGTAATGCTTAACAAATGGGGAACCGAGCCGTCTTTCTGTTTTTGGGAAATGGGTGATGGTTGGTGCCGTTAGGATATGGAATGTGTGGCGGTGATCAGATGATGATTGGGTTTCAATTTCCCGCACACACACACACCACACACACATACCACACACACACACACAACACCACACACTACAACACACAGCACCACCACACATACACCACACACACGCACACACACTACCACACACACCACACACCACCTACATACACACACACACCACACAACACATACATACACACAACACACACACCACACCACACACATACACACACACACCACACACACACACACACACACCACACACACATACCACACCACATACACACACACACCACACCACACATACCCACCACAAACCACCACACACCACCAGCACACATACACACACACACCACACACACACACACACACCACACCACATACACACACACACACCACACACACCACACACCACACACATATACCACAAAACACCCACCACAAACAAAACCAACCAAACCCAACACCACCACCAAATTTAAACAAAAACAAAAACCAATAATACAAAAAACCACCACACACCACATTAATTTAACCAAAAAACACACCGCAACACCGAACCCCCAACAACCACAAAAATATTAGACCCCAAAAAAACAAACCAAAAAAAAAACACCAACACCAACCAAACCACCAAAACCAAAAACAAACACAACAAACACAACACCAACCACCCACAACCAAAATACCAACAAACAAAAAACCATTACCAACAAAACAAAACCCCACAACCCAACCCAAAAACCCACCACCCAACCCCACAAAAACCAACAATCTTTACCCACCACCACCCAAAACACCACCCCCACCCATAAAACCAACAAAAAACCCACAACCCAAAAACAGCCACCATTAACCACCAACGAACACACCCACCCAACCACCACATTAACCACAAAAACCCACCAAACACAAAACAACACAAAACCAAATCCCCCAACACCCAACATAATACCCCAAAAAACAACCACCAAACCAGCAGCAGCTGGCTAGAGCTGAGAAGCAGTCCCCCTTTATATGAGAGTCACGATCTCCAGTTTGTGTCAATCCCTGTCTTGGGGCATAACGAAGTGTTTGATGGTACTGCTTAGGAATGATTTCTTCTTTCCATAAAATTCAATCCTAGGGTCGTCCACCAAGAATCCAAGTTTTTTCCCACTTTCTGACCCTCACCATATCTGGCCGAGGTCTGGGCACTTACTAAACACAGTTTGAGGGCTGTATCTAATAATTGGAGTATTGGGCAAGTGGGGCCTAGCAGACTTTGAATTATTTGAATACTACAATTCAGGATAAGAACTCAGAACATTTATATCAGTTAACATTAACTTTTTCCAAATGCTTTTCCCTATAAGCATATAGCTTAGCATTAAGAGGATGGGTTTTTGTATCGGATCTAGATTCTACTCCAGAAAATGAGGATGAAACTAATGCCTGCTTCAGAGGGTTGTCGTCAGGATTAAATGAGATGAGGCATGTGAAGTAGTCAGCATGGTGCCTGCCAGGTCATTAGTATTCGGTAAATGCTTAACAAATAGGGGAAAACCACACTGTCTTTCTGTTTTGGGGAAATGGGTGATGCTGGTGGTGGCGGTGGTAGTGACAATAGTGGTGATGTGCTGGTGGTGATCAGTGATGATGATCGTGGTGATATTCAATGAGCATCACCTAATTTTCTAATGTCACCTCTTCCTTCCCACCATCCATCCTGCTTCAAGGACATTATGGAGACCATAAGCCTTGTAACAAGAACTCTTATGCTTTTCTAGTGGGAAAAGTCCTGGATTGGAAGTAAACAGATCTGACCTCTGCCAAAGAGGTCACAATAAGTTGGCTGTTGGCGTCCTTATCATTCAGCGTGAACTTGACGCCACTTAAATCCGCCTGTGTCTCAGTTGCCTCTTTTATACCATGAATAATTACATGCCAAGCTCCTATGTTATTTTAAAAAGCCCATTTTACAGGTATCTTCGATTTCATCCCTCCCAGTCGTATGTTGTGTATTCCGATTCTTCTTGTTGGTTAGGCAAAAAATTTTTAATCCAGAAGGGTAAAGTGTTTTGCGAAGATGCCAAAGCCACGTATTTCTTCACGCCATCGTCTGGCCTACAGAGGATAGTACGTATGAAATATCTGGGATGTTATGTTAGAGAACGGGCACCAGCCAGGAGGCGGTGTTGTGTGAGGCTGTGCGTGTGTTGGGTCTGTGGTTGTGTTTGTGCAGTTTGGTTCCTCGCCGCAGACAGCGAATTTTTATTCCCAGGAGCCGTGGACACGTGCATTTGTGTCTACAGGGTCAGGCCCCCAGACATCTTTGTCCTTTTGCGGCTGCCCTTTCTTGAGGGGGGGTGTGTTGTGTTGTTTGTGGTGTGGGGGTGTTTTCTGGTGTCTCACAGATGGACGGCGGCGCGACCCGCGCTGTCGGCGGAGCATCGCTCTTGCGGGTGTCCTTGCCTTCGCGACGAGAGCGGAGTGGCGGTCGAGTGCGGTGCGGCCGTCGCCGGCCCTGCTGACGCCGGTGAGCGCTCCCAGTGGCGCGGCTTCCCGCTCCACCGCCGCGAGGCGGGGCCCCGTGCGGCTGGTAACGGGAGCTGCTGGGCCGCCGACCACGGTGGGCTGCGTCGGAGGAGCCAGCACGAGGCCGCACGCCGACTGCACGGGTCTCGCAGGGATCCAGTCTGGGGAGGCAGACACAGGCGCGGTCAGCGGACAGGGCGGCGGCACGTGAAGGGTGCGCCTGTCCGGACGGACAGCGGACAGCGCGTCCGCCCGTTCTCAGCCGGCGGGTGCTCCCGCAAAGGCGACCTTGCGCTGCTATTAGCGCTGGTGGCTGAGCGGGAGGCAAACCCCCTCCAGCGGACTGGGTCGCGGCCGTGGTCACAGGCGAGGATATGCTTCCATCGGCTCCCAGCCTCGGGGCACAGTGTTGCCACAACAACACACAGCACCACACCACATACACGACACACACACACAACATACCAACACACGCACACACCCACACACCCCACTGACACAAACACACCCACGACACACACAGCAACAGCACACACCACACATCACACACACCACACCAGCATACACATCACACACACACACCACAACACACACCACAACATGACACACCACATCACAACAACACCACACACACCACGCACAACACCACACGACACACCACACACAATCACACAACACCACCACAACACCACACACCAAGCACAGCCACACAATACCACACATACACAACACACCACACACACCACACACACACCACACACACACACCACAACATTACACACACACCACACCACACACACACACACCACACACACCACACACATACCACACACACACACATACCACACACACCACACACACACCACCCACACACATACAACACACACCACACCACACACACACCACACCACACACACCACAACAGATACCACACCGCATACCGACACCACCACCAACACACACCACATACCAGCACAAATACACCACACACAAACACACACACACCACACCACACCACACACCACGGATACAGCACACAACCACACCTCCACAACACATACCACACCACACACACACACACCCACACCACCACACACAAACACCACACACACCACACCACATACACACACACACCACACACAATACCAACCACAACAGCAACAACCACACACACACGACCCACTCCACACACAAACACCACACACACCACACCACCAATCACACACACAGCACACCACTATACCATCAACACCTACACACACACATACCACACACACCACACACCACATACACACACGCACACCACGCACAGTGTGAAGCAGACACAGAAGCAGGCAGACCAAATAAGAAACAAAAGACAGAGCCGGGGCAGAGACAGAGAGCAGAAACCGAGAAACACAAGGGAGGGACAACTCAGCAGGACGGGAGAGCGGGAAAGAGGAAAAGAGAGGGAGGCAGGGAGAGGAGAACTCTCACCAGCTACTTGCTGAGGAGAAGCCTCACAGAAGCTTCAGGCAGGGGTGGTGGGGTCTCCTTTGCGGGGCGCAGGGAGGACGGGTGAGTGGGAATAAGGTGAGTGCGCTAGGGAAGCACCACCCAGACAGAGGCAGATTCGGGCAGGTCACCTATTCCGAGTTAGGGCTGGGCGAACGAGCTTTGTAAAGTCTCCCGACATAGACCTGGAAGCAGACCTTCTCCTGGGGAGCCTGGGAGAAGTCAGTCACATCACCTCCTTGCACCTGGGGTTCCTCATTTGTAAACTGGAGATAGTAACAGTATCTCACAGGGCTTCTGGGAGGATTAGGCTTTATGAAGTGTGCAAAGTGTTAGGACAGTGCCTGGAATATAATAAATGCCCTGTGCTTGTTAGCTATCATTATTTTTGGGTAAGACATAGCATGCCCTAAAATTGCAAGGTCCAAGAGTTTGGTTTTGCCCCTTCCTGAGCTCATTCTTTTTCTTCTTTTTTAAAAAATTGAGATGGTCCTCCCTCAGTAAAAGGAAGCCATCTTTCCCCTCAAATTCTCTGGAAGACAGGAGATCCGCATCCCTTGGACATATGTCCTGCGGGTGACGTGGGGAGTCGGGCGTTCACTGCGTGCTGTGGGGAGGTGGGGGAGACACCCCTGAGAAACATTTTGGGCCGTCTCTCTGTGAGGGCCTGCCAGCATTTAGAGAGCCATAGGTTACGTCCCAGCCAGAGATGTTAGTATAAAACTTTGTGACACTCCACGGCCACGTGTTTGAATCAGAGTCATCTGTGTCCAGCACAGAGGGCCTGAGCCAAGGCCACGTCTGCACTGGGACTCCTTGTCAAGCCGGGCGCGAACACGGAAAGCAGAACGCACACTAAACACAGCCGGCGTCCTCGGCCGCTGCGAGCGAGCCAGTCACCATCTACACAAGTCCGACCTTTCACTTGAGACATTTATTTTTCCACTGACAGCCCTGTGAGGTGCACACGGTCAATTCCCCTGTCATTTCTCTTTACTTTGGGGAGATTGATAGCCTGACCAGCCTCGCCTTGGGAAAAGGGAGAAAGAGAAAGCCTCCAGGACCCGGGAAGTCAAAGCAGCACGGGGCAGACATGTCCTGAGGCTCTCATTAATGCCTGAAACATCGGTTTTATGCCTCATCTATTTATCTTGCCAATTCCTAATTTTCCAAGAGATTTAATGCTTGCTTGCTCTCTCTCTCTCTCTCTCTCTTTCAGAGTCTGCTTTGTTGTCCAGGCTAGAGTGAGTGCCGTGGCGTCAGCCTAACTCACAGCAACCTCAAACTCCTGGGCTCAAGCGATCCTGCTGCCTCAGCCTCCCGAGTAGCTGGGACTATAGGCATGCGCCACCATGCCCGGCTAATTTTTTCTATATATATTAGTTGGCCAATTAATTTCTTTCTATGTATAGTAGAGACAGTGTCTCTCTCTTGCTCAGGCTGGTTTCCAACTCCTGACCTCAAGCAATCTGCCCGCCTTGGCCACCCAGAGTGCTAAGATTACAGGCGTGAGCCACCGGGCCTGGCCTTAATGCTTTCTTATTACATGTGCATACAATGCAAGAAGTCAAAGCTCCAAGCCAGTCAAGATCTATGCGAAGGTAGAGCGTAGAGAGGGCATGGATCAAAGGAAGTGTGAGCAATTGCCCAGAGGATGCAATTCTCTGCATTCCTAAGTGGTCTGGACGGAGTGTGGACATTCCTAAGTGAATTCACACTCTGGATGGACCAAAGATGATCTGCTTAGTTATAGGAGCAATGATAACCCTAATAAAATAATACTATAAAAATTAGTGTTTTTTTGAGAGATTAATTATGTGCCAGGCACTGCCATCAGGCTCATGTGAATGGTTTTATTAAATCCATCCAGTAACCCTGATGAGGTAGGTATTATTTTTATTTTTACTTTATAAATGAGTGAACTGAAGACTGAAGGGGTTGGTAACTTGCTTAAGGCTGTCGTGGTGGGATTACTTATTTTGTGTGAGCGCTGGGGGGAGAGGTGGAGGATGGTAGGGAGGGTGCAGGAGGGAGGCGTGGTTGGCAGGAATGCAGTGGCCAGAGCAGCGGTCTGGTGGTCAAGCAGGTTGTCGGATGAAAGCACTGGGGCAGGTGGAGCTAAATTTGTCTCTTTTTCTTGGTGAATGTTCCCGTGTGGCATATTGTCCCACACGCTTGCTATTCTTCTGCCTTGACTAGTCAGATTGCATTTTCATGTCAACCATTTGTTAAGATCCCAAGAGAGATTGGGGACCCTGATTTAAATCAGGGAACATGGAATAAGTCATATTTACTGTGCTTGGCTTTGTGTCCTAGACAGAGACGTAAGAATATAAAATTTTGATTTTTTTTTTTTGTAGAACAATTGGGTTTCAAATACTTTTTAGAATACCTAAAAATGGAATCTTATATAGAAGTTCCACCTGTGAAGAGATAAATGCCTGGTTCTTAAGATGAAGAATCTGTATATATTGCCATGTGTGCAATGTGGATGTTATGTAGGTAAAAATAAAAGCAAGGTGCAGAATAGTACAGTGCGTATGATAACAAGTTTGTGTATCTTTCTATTTCTCTGTCTATCTATCTATCTATGGAAGAGAACTTGGGCTGGGGGTTAAGGATATGAAGGAGATTTGCTTTTGAATACTTTGTACGCTATAATCTTTCTGTTTTTACCCTATGCATTCATTTACTTAAATAACATAGTGGGAATCGGGAGCTCTAAGCACTGCCTCTTCAATCCTCATTTCCTACTCCCACCCTCTGCGTGCTCACCCCATCCTTCCCTGTTTGTCTTGTGGCACCCCCTGAGGGTTCCCTGGAACATAGTTTGAGAAGCACTGACCCGGCCAGCGCTTTGGTCATTCTGCCTTAAGAGCCAGCATCCATGTTGGCCATGTTCTAATTACGTGTTGGCACTCAGGGCTGCTATTACCCTAGTCATTCAACTTGCATGTATGAAGTGACACAAGGCAGTGACCTTGAGTCAGTCTAGCTTCACTCAATAAAACGACTCATCATTTGGGAATTGCAAAGCAGCCTTTGCAGGGGCTCCGTGTACAGCCAAGCTCCTGTTTTTGTGAAAAGCATCCGGTGTACCCTGGGGTCACAGCCCGCCATCACTCAGCTCATGGCACCTACCTCTCTTTCACCACTTACTCTTTCTCATGCTGCTCCGCCCTTTCCGAAGAGACCCTTGTCCTATGGTCCCGGTTCCGGCTGTGCTCCTTACGGGGTTGACAATGGCGGTGGGCACGAAGACGGATTTGAAGGGACGGCTTTGCCGGGGGTCACCTTCTGAAATGCTGCCTTGGGAGGACACAGAGGAGGTGGATAATGTCCATGTGGCGTAGAGACCAGGGCTCCGGGAATCTGGAAAACTAGAGGTCTTTCTGGTTGTTGGACATTTTTTTTTTTTAAAGAGAAAAAATAGAAAAAGAAAACATTCAGTTTTATTTTAAAAACCTAACAGCTCCCAACCATATATAAAATGTAACCACTTTTGACCTTCCCACCCAGCCATTCAGACTCTTTGTCAACCACGGTCTTAACCAAGTCGGCCCCACCTCCCTACACCTTGTTAGCCTGAGGTTTGCTAGGCGCAGGGGGAGGGGCCACACGGAGGCCCTGGTGGAAGCAGAAGACTCGAATTTCACCATCTCTCGCTCTGATTCTGGTCACCCCTCACCCCACGTCCCTTTAGCCCTTGAGTCCAAAGCACAAGATCCTGTCTGTGTCCAACTTGCTTTGCAGTGGCAGTTTCTTAGTCAGTCAGTGACTTTTCCGCTAGATTCTAAACTCTTTGAAGGCAGAGATTTTATAGCTTACTTTATTTTCATTTATTTATTTTTTTAGAGACAGGGTCTTGCTCTGTTGCTCATGCTGGAGTGCAGTGGTGTCATCGTGCCTCGCCGTAACCTCAAACTCCCTGTGATCCTCTAACCTCAAGCGATCCTCCCGCCTCAGCCTCCCAAGCAGCTGGGACTACAGGTGTGTCCTATCATAGCTGGCTAATTTTTAAATTTTTATGTAGAGATGGGGTCTCACTATGTTGCCCATGTTGGTCTCGAACTCCTGGCCTCAAGGAATTCTCTTGCCTCAGCCTCCCAAAGTGCCGGGATTACAGGCGGGTCCACAGTGTCCTGCCTTATTTTTAATATTTTATCTCCCTGTATTCTTCATATATTGTTGACTAATAAACATTTGTTGAATGGCTGCCATGATGTTTTTAGCACTGAAGCCAGTTCATTTTGGCTAACACATGTTGAGTGCTTACTGTATGCCAGGCACTGGCCAAGTGGCTTTGCCCACATTTTATCTCATGAGTTCTTTACAACAGCTTTCTTAGATATGTACTCTTAGTGCCACTATTTTATAAACAAAAAAATACAAAGACTTACAGTTACTTGCCCAAGGAACTACTGGGCCTGGGATTTGAACCCAGGTTTAGGCTGGCCATCTGTTCTTACCACCTCTAGTTAGAACATTCATCATTTGGTAGCAGAAAAAGCCCTTTATTCTGCCTGAAATGAATGAACTGAAGCAGCTGGTAGGCCCTATGTACGCCTCCATAAAACTCTAATTCTTCAGCCTCAGGCTGTGATTTTTGAGAGTAGTATTAAAGTTTTATAAAACAACAATCCCTTGTCCATCGTTTCCAGCCTGCAGCTCCCAGAACTCCGTGGGGAGTGGCTGTCATCTTCGTGCCTTTCTTGCCCTTTTACCAATCCAGCCCCAACATCACATCTCTTACCGAGCAGCCCATCCATCACCTTGTCACTCTGTTGATTAAGTAACTTCTACTAATTCCCTGGGAATAATGAACACAGCCAAGGCGCTGGCACAGAGATGCCCTCGTGGTTTCCTTCCCACCAATGCCTCCAGGTCTTCGGTTAAGGTCATTTCTCTTTCTCCTCATCCTCCTCTTGCTCCTTTTCTCTTGATTAAAAAAGTGATATGTAGCTTACTAATGAGTCAGTATTCTATGAAGATAGGCAAAGCATCATTTAATTGTGGCCAACGCCGCCCAAGAAGTATATCTGGCCAAATGCTCCAGGAACGGATGCTTGCAGCAAGGGGACTTCTATTCGTAGCTGTCAACCTGCCTCTGGTCCCCATGGTGGTGCAGCCAGTGAAGAGGAGTGGGGCTGTCTACCGGGGAGGGGTCAGACTATGTCCTGGAGAGAAATGCTCAGCACTGGCTTCCATGGCGGAGTGCAGCTGATCTGCCTGCCTTCTGAAAAGAGGCTTCGAGGTGTTGAATGCTGCAAAATGGATTGGCAACAGGCGAGGCAGGTTCCCAAATTCTTCCCAGCAGTAGCAACAGCAGCAGCATTAAGGACAGAATACAGCTAATTAGGCCCTAGCCGCTCTCATTCCACCAATCCCTTCTTTGAATGACTGTTTATAGACAGAGGTGCGACCCCATTTCTCCGGGCCAGATTCCAGGAACTCCTCAATCCCATGCCTCCCATCCAACAAGGAGTCCCTCTATGTCTTTTGGCAAAAAGCTCAGCACTCACCTGGCTCTTTCTTCCAACATCAAAGCATTTTACTAACATTCACTAATTGATTCCCGTGACACCCCAGTCCTGCAGACATTATGATCTCTGTTTTCCAGATGGGGAGACCGAAAGGCATTCTGGGCGTAAGTGGGACGAGTGGATGTTGCACCTGGTTGGCTGCATGGTGCAGGTCCCTGTGTCCTTCTCTCTACCTGGTACGTTGGCCCTGACGAGCTTGCCTGATTGCACAGGGGGCATCATGAGCAGCAGCTCCTCTGTGCTCACCACTGGCAGCTGGACCTTGACAATCTTTGTGTAGATCGGTTCAGAGAGTTAAAGGCCAATGAGTGGTGGCCCATGTATTGCTTATCTCCACCCATAAAGGACCAGGTAGGCGTATGTGTCTGAAGTTGCAAGGAAGAGGAAGATCCCGGCTAGCAGGGCAGAAGCAAGCTTATTGGGAGGGCAGGAGGGGGCTTGGAAACAGGATCCGGAGGCTGCAGAGAGCTGGGCAGCAGGTGGCTGGGCTCTCACCATGAATGGTCTTTAGCGTTGCCCACTTCTCGCTTCCTCCCTTATTTACATTTCGAAGTCCCCAGGGGGAGCGTCAGATTGGCTGAACCTGCCCCTTCGCTGTGTTGATGGGTTGAGGAGGAAAAAGGGGAGGATTTGGTTTCTTGAGCCTCTGAAGAGAGAGGAAGCGTCTGCCTCCCACCACGACTGCACATGAAAGAGGACACCCAGGGGATGTTGGTTGCCGCACAGATGGAAACCTGACAAATGCTCTGTACAGACTAAGCCAGCGAACGTCTCCGGGAGCTGGGAAGAGGCACCATGGTGGCAGAGACTCAACTGTGGTCTGCAACAGCTGGACAGCTTGGTGTCACCAGCTAGCACCGAGGGCTGCGGCACAGGGCAGCACAGCTGCCTTTTCCTCTCTGGTGCTTGAAAGGCTCATTCGCCGAATCTTAAATCTAAACCCTGACATTCTGGTTGATTCTCATCTACAGTTAATCCCTAAACTCTGGCTGGTTCAGTTCATTAGGGGTGGTGCTAATTAGATAAAGGTTGAAATGCTCGGTGGGGGGGCACCTTACACTGCGGAGCCCGGGTTGTCTTGTAAGAGGCTGCGTGACGCACCACGGGGCCGCATGTGCAGAGCCATCCTGCAAACAGAAACAGGCTGGGGGCGGAATCCTCAAATGCACAGCATCCAAGAGCAGACTGGGCTTGCACGTGTAGGCCAGCCCGCTCGGGTCTTGCTCACAACTTGCTCATGGTTGTAGAAACTCAGCTAACAACGAACAGCATCACTCAGCCCCAATAGTGGGAAGAACTAAAGTTCCCACAGTGGAAAGGGTACTTAAGTACAAGGGTTACCTGCCTGCACCTAGATAGATAAATTGGGCGTATGTCATTCATGTCCAGGATTAGTGGGAAGGGAACATTCTTTGCATCACAGAGACCATCAAGGAAAACGTGCCAACACTGCAGAGGCCTCGATCCTCTGTCACCTAATAACCCGCCAGGAGCACATCCTCTGACAGGGACTTGTTCTACGGAATGCTGGTTTCCCGTAAGCAGAATCATGCCTCAACATTAGCCACACCTCAGTATATGCATATGTTCAGATTCCTATGAGCTGGGAGGAAGGGGTGAACCCAGCGACAACCTACAGAGCCGAGACTCCATCGTCTGACGTGCAGGCATCTCCAAGGGCCTGAGAATAGATGCTGACCACTCGACTTGCCCAAGAACACAAGAGATCTCCCCAAAAGAAAAGCCAAGAAGGAGAGAAACGGAAGCTGGAGCCTTGAAATATACTGGAATGGAACCCTACATGCATTCTAGTTAGGGTGACCATAGGGCCTGATTTTCCCAGGAGAGTCTCAGTGGTTACCTGCCCCAAAGTGTCCTAGTTTGGATGATAAAATATATGGCCACCCTTGTTTTAATGGTTCTTCGATGGCATAACCAGGATGTTGGGTTAAGGCCTAATATCTAAGCAAATACCCTAGAAGTAGGCAAGGGCTCTGGGGAATTCATGGAAGAAACCGTTCCTAAGTTAGGACAGGCATCCTCCTTGCTCCTCACTGTTACTTCTAGAACACTCCCCCCACCCTCCTCAACACTTCTGGGCTCTGACTCCTATCAGCAGACTGGACCACCTACGTGCCACCTTGCTGTGACCATCATTTACCCTCTCGGCCTCTCCCCTCGTTCTTGAAGACTCTGGCTGCTGGCCGAGTGTCGCTCTCTGGATACAACTGACCCTACCACGATGATCTCATCTAGTCTTATGGCTCTAAGCAGCATCTCAAGGCCGGAGCTCTTTCTTAGATGCTAAACTGGTGTGCTCCACTGCTCACCAACATCCTTACTTGGATCACTGAGAGGCATCTCAGACTTAATCTGCTGCCAGCTAAGCCTTTGCTTCCCTCACACCTCCAAACCGGTTCCTCTCGTGGTCTCCATCACCTCTGTCTCAGTGAAAAGCAACCCCATCTTCCAGTTACTCAGGGCAAAAAAACCTGGACTCACCTTGAATCCTCTATTCTTTCACACCTGATGTTGGATCTATTAGAACATCCTGGGGTTTATAATTTCAAGTATATCCAGAATCTAACTAGTTTTCCCTACCTTCACAGCTAACGCCCTGGTTCAATGCATTATCACCTCTCCCCAGTATTATTGCAATAGCCCCTTAACTATGTTTTATGCTTTTCCACTTTCCTATCTATAGTTTATTCTCAACGAATGCAGCAACTTGAGGGATTCTGGTTAAACATGGCTTAGATCATGCCACTCTTCTGCTCAAAACCCTGCAACAGGGTTTAAAGCCCAATCCCTCGTCCTGCATAAGCTGGCCCCAGTACTATTCTGACCTCACCTCCTACTCACTTGCTCTAATCCAAGCCTGCCGGCCTTCGTGTCGGGCACTCTCCTACTCGGGCCTTTGGACCCGAGGTTCCTGTGGCTTGGGATCCACCTCCCTCAGAGCGCCACGGGGCTCACCCCAGCTCCTTCATTCCTCCTCCTTGCTTCTCAGCAAGGCCACCCTGAACCAATGTGTCTGAGATCTTAACCACCCCCACGCAGATTCTATCTGCACTTGCAGAGTTTTCTTCTTAGCCCTTATCACTAACATACCACATATCTTACTCATTTATTTGGTTTCTTATCGTCTTGTGTACTGGTATTTCTCCAGTGCCCGGAAAGTTGCCTGACACATAGTTAGCACTCAATCAATATTTGTTAAAGACGGCCTGCCTGTAGTCCCAGCTACTCGGGAGGCTGAGGCAGGAGGATCTCTCGAGCCCAGGAGTTTGAGGTTGCTGTGAGCTAGGCTGATGCCACAGCACTCTAGCCAGGGCAACAGAGTGAGACTCTGTCTCAAAAAAAAAATAAAAAAATTGTTGAATAAAAATGAATTAAAACATCAGTTATAGACACCCTTAGTTTGTCTCCGGATATTGTGCAACTTTATAACAAATTTCAAAAACCTTCCATCAAAAGGAATGACTGTGATGTTCTATCCCATCTTTCTGCCATGTGAAGAAATCTCTTTATACAACCCTGGATCTAGGGGGACCCACACTGTGCCTGTACTCTTCCTAGAAAGGGGGTCATCACCCACCAGCCAGCCTGGTTGGGAAAGAGCTACGGGTTAGAAAATGCTGCCTTTTATTGAACCCAAACCTTCCGAGTTGTATACGCCGGTCCACTCCACTGTGCCCGCCTGCAACAAATCTACTTCTTGGTCTATGCAGTCCATTATGATCCGTCTGCTCCTTGTCAGCTACAAGTTAAATTACCCCAGTGTCTTTATCAGTTTCTCCTGTGACCTAGGTTGCTGTCTCCTCACCATCCTTGTTGCCCTCCTCCGGACACAGTGCCCCGCCTAAATGAAGTCCCCCAACCTGGGCGCCTGACTCCAGGTCTGACTCCCACAGAGAAAAATGGGGCAGTCACTTTCCTGGGAATTGTGACCCGCCGGTCTGTCACAAAGACAGTGTTTGAAGCAGGCTGTGCCTGGGCTGATGGGGGTGGAGGCACAAGTCATGGGATAGCTCTGGGGCTATCTATCCATGCATCTGCAGCAATGTGAGGTGGCAGGACAACCCCAGGGTCGATGACATTAAGAGGAATGCCGCAGAATGAGAAAGGCTGGGAAAAGCTGTTGGGGAGGAGGCCCGGCAGGGTAACTAGCGTTTGATCTGGGCAGTGCATGAACAGACGGGGGTCTGAGTTCAGGGACACTGTGCCTTAGGGCCTAGCAGCCTGAGAAGTACCCCGAGGTGCTGGGGAGGCCATTCGGCCGCATTTCCCCATTGTGCCACTAGATGGCGTATTGGGGTGGAGGATGTGAATTGGGATTTCTGGGATCCAAGCAGAAGAAAACCTGACACCTAGTTCTTGAGCAAGTTGCTTAACTCTGCACATTGTTTTCCTCATCTGTAAATTAATCTCTACCTTGCAGGATGCCTGGGCCTAGGCAATGAGCTAGAAGGCATGAAAGTGCTTGCAAGCTGTGAAGAGCTGCAAAAAAGATAATGATTTGTGCTATTTTGTTTGAAGAGTTAGAAGGGCCACTAGCTCTTTCTTAGCCAATACTCTGAAAGAGCATCGAGTCCTGCATCAGTTCAGCTCACAGATGGCTGCTGGCCATGATGAGCCGACCTCCCGATGCCCTGGGGTTGGAGGAGACGCACCTGAAAATGGGGATGACGTAGTTGCCCGGGAAGATGCCGGCTCGCCCGGTGACCAGGGAGATGCCCCTGAGCCACCCGTCCTGCCACTTCCCCAGGACCCTGATGCCTTCTCCCTTGTGCAGGTCCAGCTCGTCAGGTCCATGGGCTGAGTAGGAGTGCAGGGCTACAAACCTGGGGAGACACAGGGAGCTGGTGAGGGGAGAAGGTCTGTGCACTGCTGGAGGGCGCAGTAAAAACCCGGCACGGCCACGGTGACGCGTAAGGCGTTCAAAAGTGGCACAACCCGGTTGAAACTGCAATGGAGGGGGGGCCAGATCCCTGCCTCCTCCATCTCCTCCTCCTCCGTCCAGCGCTCCTAGCTGCCAGGCACTAGTTTAGGCCGACCTTGGCACTTCAACTACGGGTTAAACTGGCCTTGAACGGAGAAAGAAGTTGGCGACCCGGAGTTAGTGGCAGAGAGGGATCCTGATGCTAGAGGTACGGGCTCTGCAGAGGATGCTCTTCCACGACTGCTTGGTGCACCCCCCCAAGAAAACGCTGGCAGCCAGCAGGGTTCTGGGAAATAAGAGGTCAGCGACAGAAGCCTCTCTGATCCACTCCCTCTTCTGAAAGCAGGGACACGTCTGACTCCCCGGAGTGGCCCGACTGAGCCAGCTTAATGTAGGCTGGGAAGCGGGCATGGGGAGGCAGGGGGTGGTTTTGGGTTTTTGGCGTTCAGTGCAACATGGGCTGCGTGGTGGGGTGGGGTGGGGGGATGGGCCCAGGACGGGGCAGGAATGTCCTCAGGTGAGAGCAGAGACTTTGCACTCTGAAGTCCGAGCAGCAATCAGGCGAGCGTGTCCAGGTGTGAGTCACGGGGGTGAAGACAACAGGGAATAGTGAGGTCGGGGAGGCGAGAACAGCTGCCTGACTACAGGCATTAAAACCAATCCTCCTGGGCTTGCTGGAGTCAGGGGTCACCAGCATGTGGCCCTCAGGCATCTCAGACGTTAGGCAGCCCTTCCAGGCTCTGAGGACTGTGAGACACGGGAGTGTTTTCTCGAGAGGAGAGAGGGGAGCGTTCTCATCTACAAGGTTTTTTTTTTTTTTTATTTTTTCCTCCCTAAAATGCTATATTTACATTTTGCTGATTCCTAAAACAAAACATCTATTTATGACCCAGCATTTTGAATCCAAAGCAAGACAACAGACATTTCTCAATGTCCAATCTCCCAGCAGTGTTGGGGTACATGACCTTCCAGTCTCTCTCTCTACTTTTGTGAGAGAATGAGCTAGGATGATGTGGTTGGCTAATCTGTGTTTTGTGCCATTATTTCATTTGGAGGCGGTGGAGGAAGGGGAGCCGTTGTCTCTCTGGACGGAACGGTTTGAGGTCGTGATGCTCATTGGCAAAGGGCCGGGAAAGGTGACCCCCCTGTGCCATGGCTGGGGCGCAGGGCCGAAGCCTTTTACTCACATGTTGGCTGACAGGTGTTGCTGGGAGCCGGGCATGCTGACCATGGCCGTGGAATGTCCTGGAGAGGCAGGTACCGGGTGGTAAGTGCTGACCTGCACGGACACACAGACAGGAAAGACAGCCAAGCAGAACCAGTGAGTGCCATGAGCCAGGCCCAGAGCGAACAGAGCTGCCACACAAAGGCCTGATACAACTGCAAACCAAGAACCATGCCCGGCGCCACCCAGCATGCATCCTCTCTGTGGTTTGTGGCTGTGGCCACTGTGGGCGGGGACGGGCTGTTTATGGCCTGCCGGGGTGGCGTGCCAGAGCCACGTTCCAAAAGGCTGCGCAGATACTGTGGAGGATGAGGAGTTGTCCAATTTACAGTCCATGGGGCACTTCCAGACCCTCCCCCCAGCCCTCCCGCCACCCCCAATCTCCCAGCGCGCTCACCTCCCTCTCGGAAAATGATGCAACGGCTAGCACTGATTCAGAACTGTGCACTTGCCAGGCAGTTTTAAGTGCTTTATAAGTATCAGCTAAGTTAATCCTTAATAAAAATAATATAATCCCCATTTTTGGATGAGAAACTGAGACACACAGGGGAAGAAAGCTCACCCAACTAGCATGGAACAAAGAAAATTTAACATCAGGTAGTCCATTGGAAATAGAATCTTTGCAATAAGAACAAACAAACAAAAAATAAAATCAGGGAGTCCAGGTTCTGAGCTCATACTCTCATTACCTATTGCTAGTATTAACACACACAAACACACACACACACAGAACAGCTGATCCAATAACTTGTGGGTGAGTCTGAATCCCTTTCACTTTTCCAGGGCCAGGACTTTGCCTATTATCCAACATATTGCTTTGCTTATTTCCTTCTTGGCACACATCACAGACTGTGATTGTTTATTTACTGACCATCTCTCCCCCTTCCCCGGACTGTACATTCCCTAACGGCAGGGACTGTGTCAGTCTTAGTCACCATTGTATTTCTCATGTGCCCAACATGTACTTGTAGCTTAAAAAAGAAATGAAGGAAGGAATGAAAAGTACTAGTACACCAAGGACTAATAAAATCTCAACCATCTCCATGTCATCCTGGGTGAATATATTCAATCTGCTTTCAGATACTCACCCATAAGTGATGGGAACTATGTATGTGTGCTTTTCAAAGGCTACGCTTTTATGCTTTTGTGTGTCCAACTATTGCTTATGTATTTGCGTTTGTACAGTGTGAATGCATTACTAAATGTGTGTGTCTCTGGTTCTGTGTGCAAATGTGTATGTTTGCTCAGACCCACAGCAATTGCATGCACATGTGTGATGGTATTGGCCCATTGTATGTCTGCTCATGTTCACACATGTGATCTGTGGATTGAAACATGGTGCATGTGATTATATGTATATGCAATTATGTATGTGATGTTAAATATTGAAAAGATTCTGTGTGTATGTGAACTCTAGAGTGTGTGAACATATGCACAACCATGTAGTTTTGTGATGTGTGTGTGTCAATGATTGTGCAAATGTATGTGTAGTTATGTATGTATTTGCAACATCTCAAGGATCTAGTTGTAGGACCAAAAAAGCATTTTAGGCAGATAATAACAAGTGTTGGTGAGGAAGTAGAAAAACTGAAACCCTACTACATTGTTGGTTGGAATGGAAAATGGTGCAGCCCTTTTGGAAAATAGTCTGGCAGCTCCTGAAATGATTAAACATAGGATTACCATATGACCCAATAAGTCTACCTCTAGTATAAGCACAGGAGAAATACCTACTCCATACCCAAGAGAAATGAAAACATATGTCTGCACAAAACCATACATGAAAGTTTGAGAGGCATTATTCATAATAATCAAAAGGTAGAAACAACCCAAATGTCTACTAACTGATGAATGAATAAACAAAATATAGTATATCCATCTGTTGGAATATTATTCAGCCATAAAAAGGAACAAAGTATCGATGCATATGAGAACATAGATGAACCTTGAAGACATTATACTAAGTAAAAGAAACCAGACACAAAAGACCACATATTATTTGATTCCATTTATATGAAACGTCCAAAAGAGGTACATCTATAGTGATAGAAAGTAGATTAGTGGTTTCCAGGGATTGGGGGACTACAGGAATACAGGGTGACAGCTAAAGGGTACTGGGTTTCTTTTTTTTTTTTTTTTTTTGAGACAGAGTCTCACTCTGTTGCCCAGGCTAGAGTGCTGTGGCATCAGCCTAGCTCACAGCAACCTCAAACTCCTGGGCTCAAGCAGTCCTTCTGCCTCAGCCTCCGAGTAGCTGGGACTACAGGCATGCACACCATGCCCGGCTAATTTTTTCTCTATATATTTTAGTTGGCCAATTAATTTCTTTCTATTTATAGTAGAGACGGGTCTCACTTTTGCTCAGGCTGCTTTCGAACTCCTCACCTTGAGCGATCCTCCCTCCTCGGCCTCCCAGAGTGCTAGGATTACGGGCGTGAGCCACCACGCCTGGCTCTGAGCTCTTTTTGAGTGATAAATGTTCTAGCATTGTGGGGTTAATGGCTACACATATCTGTGAATATACTAAACACCTCTGAATTGTATACTTTAAATGGGTGAATTGTATGGTAGGTGCATTATATCCCAATAAAGCATTAAAAAAAGAAACCATTTCACAGTCACCCATCTGAGGTACTCTAATACCACATAAAGCGTTCTGTGCTTTGCAATCAAATATTGTCACACCCGTTCCCTCAAACAGACATGAAAAGGAGCTGGCTTTGGGCTAGGCTGCTCCTGCCCTGTGACTGGGCAGAGTAAAGCCCTGCTGGGCTTGGGAGACCTGCCAAGGGAGAGCCCTGTTACGTGAACAGCTAATCTTACGTTTGTGGAGACTGTCAGGCCACTGATTAAGCAGGATGAACTTCACTGACACCTCTGGCTTCAATGTTACGTTTGAATAAAAAGCACTTCTATCCATAAACACCGTTCATCATTTAGGGAGGAAGAAGATGCAAGAACGCAAAGCTGTCGTTCATTCCACCAGGCTGTGTCTTTTTCACTTCTCTGGGGAGGGCGTCTTTTCCCCTGTTTGGAACGCTGACCCCGGCCAGGACAGAAATCTGTGGGCTCGCGATGGAGTTCTTCCTAATGTGCAATGGGGAAGGATGTCGGACGCTCAGGTTCTGAGGTGTCTAGGAGAAGATGAGGGAGAACAGGAGAAAGAGGCACAGGAGAAGGAGGAGAGAGAAGGGGGTGGGAGACGCTGAGAATGGGCCCAGGGTCAAACTGGGACAGGGACACCTGGGAGAGAAAGACCCAAGAGGACAGGAGAGAGAGGAAGGAGAAAAGAGACAAATAAAAACGGATGGAACCCAGCGTGGTGGCCTACGCCGTTAATCCTAGCACTCCGGGAGGCTGAGCTGGGAGGATTGCTCAAGTCAGGAGTTCGAAACCAGCTGAGCAAGAGCGAGACCCGTTCTACTATAAATAGAAAGAAATTAATTGGCCAACTAATATATATAGAAAATTTAGCAGGGCATGGTGGTACATGCCTGTAGTCCCAGCTACTCGGGAGGCTGAGGCAGCAGGATTGCTTGAGCCCAGGAGCTTGAGGTTGCTGTGAGCTAGGCTGATGCCACAGCACTCACTCTAGCCTGGGCAACAAAGCAAGACTCTGTCTCAAAAATAAATAAATAAATAAATAAATAAATAAATAAATAAATAAATAAATAAAACGGATGGGAGAAACTCTTACAATACATTCTTAAGAAGAAAAACAACCCAATAACAATGAGCAACAGACACCACAAAGCAAGATATATTGAGTAGCCAATAGCAACATGAAAAGGTGCTCAAAATCAACAATTATGGAAGAAATGCAAATTAAAATCACCATGCGACACCACCACACACCTATGAGAATGGCTAAAATGAAAAAGACTGATCAGACCAAGTGTCAGCGAGAACGTGGAGCAACTAGAATTCTCATACACTTCTTACGGGAATGCAAAATGGTGTAGCCACGTTGGAAAACAGGTTGGACATTGCTTATAAATTAACTACACACTTTCCGCACTACTCAGCAATCGTCCTCACAAGTATTCACCTGAGAGAAATGAAAATCCGTGTCCACGCAAGGACTTGTACATGAACGTTCATGTCAGCTTCATTCATTTCAGCCCCAAATTGGAAGCAACCCAAATGCCAATCAACTGATGCATCAAATAAATTGTGGTATATCCACGGTGGGATATTCCTCAGCAATACTCGTGACAGCATGGATGGCTCTCAACAACATCATCCTAAGTAAAAGAGCCAGGATACAAAAGACTATATACTATATGATGTCCTTGATGTGAAATTGTTCAAAAAAAAAAAAAAGCCAGAATTATAATGACAGAAAACAGATTAAGGGTTACCAAAAACTAGGGGTTTGGGAAGAGAGGATTGATTGCAAAGGGGCACAAGAAGTCTTTTCAAGGTGATGCAAACGTTTTTTTCCTTTATCTTGATTTTGGTAGTGATCACATGCTGTATACGTTTGCCAAAGTCGTTGAACTGTATACTTAAAATGGTTGAACTTTTACTGCATGTAATTATACCTCAATAAAGCTGTTAAAAAAGCAAATATGAATATAGCATCTAGTTGGGAGGAAACGTCCAAGTGGCCTTAGCTTAACTCTGCTCAAAGCTCTGGAATTGGTCAGTGAAGTGGGTGGGGTTAATAGAGGGCAGCTAGCGAGTGACCCTCACGGCAGGGGGCTGCCTGGAGAGGAGGGAAACTGAGTCAGGGCACCTGTGAATCAGAGGCTCCATCAGTAAGGCAGAGGCGAAATGGAGGAATGAATGATGGAGGAGACAGGAAAGCAGGCAGGGAAGAGAGAAAGCGGGCGGGAAGGAGGGCAGGCAGAACAAGGCGGAAAGGGAGGCCACACCCGGTAAAGCATGACAACCAGACGGATGGCCAGCTTTCCTGGGGCGGCAAGTCTGTTCCTGTCCCTGGGATCAGAGGTAGCAGGCCCAGCCTTTCAGAGGAAACGGGCCTGGCGGTGGTTCCTTCCCCGGGGTCAATTGTGACCTCAGGTGCCCGCGCCACCAGGGGTTTGGAGGCC